TTCGCTTCGTTCTTAGCAATCAAACCTTACAGTATTTATCATAAATTATAATTTTTGACGCAATTAGGCCGCTTGCATCATATTTCTTACATACCATTAGCATGTAAATTGTCAGAGAAATAGGTTGTCGGGAAAGTGGTGTTGGCGAAAAGACTGTTGTCGAAAGAACATCTTGATAACAAATGCACATATATAAAATTCGGTAAATCTATCGTTCCGAAAGTACGAAACCAAAAATCCTGAAGGTCAAAACTCGGATACCGGTAATAAAAAAAAAAAATCTATTTGTTTACATTTCAATTAACTTTCGAAATACTGTACTTTCGGTTTCAGTAAGCCGAAGCTATCTACCTCCGATAGACATGAGTTACCAATCTGTATGCACTATAACTACTGATCGATTAGTGTTTTTTTTTTGAGAATGTCTTAAATAATTACTTAATTCTGCATTGAATTGTTTTTAACCAATTATGCTTAATAACCGTTAATACATTTACGACTTATGAATTATATATATACTTGTTGAATGCCTGAAAATGAGTATATATTGACTGTATGTCCAGTCGGGAGTAGAAAATTCAAGTCCTTACATGTGAGTAAAAGCCTAATTAACAGTTATTAATCGAAATTTTGTAACAAAATCAATAAATATACGTCAGTGTTGCTTTATTTAATGAATTCTAATCTGATGAATATACAGTATAAATGCATATATCTGTGTACGTATATATAATATTTACACAATACGTAACGTAGCTGTTAAACATGCATATTCTCAAACAAGAATTTCTTCTTCATTAACAAAAATCCTACATATATTTCCAAAAGAAAGGTTTGCCACGCTGAAACACAAATATTATTCGTTACGTGAGTTAATTACAATCGTTATGGGATTTTTTTTTGAACAATGTATCTAGAGATTTGCCATTTTGTATGATGCGAATTAACTTCGGTTTTATAATCATCCCAAAGTTTATCCAAATCTTTCTCATTAAGTTTCATGTAATGCATTATTCCTTTTTGCATTCCGGAAAGCATGTGTAACATTATAGCCAGACCAAGTTCACCTTATTGGAAGAGTAAAAGATAATAAGATTCGGTATGATGACATCTATGACATAATTGAAAAAAATTTTTAATGCATATATACCTATTTGACCTCCCCACGATCCTATAGGCATGGCAAATTCCGTTTTAGTGACCTTACCCATTTGTGGCTGGGATTCTAACATTTCACCGAATTTCGTAAAGAGGGTAAGACTTCGACCACTCTGGCTCAATATATTTTCAACTAATAAACAAATGGTTAATAATATTATAAACATCAAACCATCACAATAAACAGTAAACAGAACTTACCTACAACACGCAATTGTTCTGTAACAACACCGGGATTATCAGCTCTTATATCACCTTCAACACATTCTAGGTAACCACCAGGTTTGAGCACCCTTATATATTCTTTTATGATTTTTATTGATTAATGTTAAGTAAGATTTATGTAATTAATAAGAATTTCTATAAAACTACCTTTAATTAAATGATTTTTCCACTGTGATTCGCTGAATGCGAAGAAATTTAGTCGGGAATAAACAAAATCAAATGTATTGTCTATAATAAGGATCGAAATTTACATATAACATTTAACCTAAAAAATTTTTGAGTGATTGAATAGAATGTATAAAGAATTTGGTTTTTTATACCTGGAAAAGGAAATGTTTCTAAAGCATCTGTTTGAATTATTCTAATATTCCTTGGCTTTTGATCAGGGTACAGAGTAGGAATCTTTTCTATTCCTATAAATGTTGAATTTGGAAAATCGGATGCCATTTCAGATAGCCATGTTGCTTTTTTTTCAAAAGCGCGTAAATATTAAAACTCTGAACGATAAATTTCGATAAATTTTGTTGAATTCAGATTAATATAATTTACCTGTGCCACAACTAATAATAATTATTACGCATTGGAGCATTCAAACCAAAAATAAATCGTTAGGGATGATTCTTGTATGTATTCACGAAAAGACTAACGTGGCATTCAATTTCGCATAAACCCACCAGACGTCCAATACTACAGCACTACCTTCTACCAATTTTTCGTTTATTGGAGCTTTAAAGTTCCCATTACTAATACATCTCATAACGTTATGCAACACTTGCATTCTATCCAAGTATAGGTCATCGTGTTTATTTAGTTGAGGGCATTCAGAATTTTGTAATTTATCATTAGCAGCTTTGTTAATCTTGTATATTAATTTAGGATACTTTGAATTCTTGTGGCCCATAATTGATTACAAAAAAAGTTTAGAAAGAATGACTGCAAATTATGGGATTATAAGAAGTCTTTTTGTTACAGAAAATAGTAAAATTATTATATTCTTTTTTATTTTACTTATTTTTTGAAAAAAAATAAATACTTTTAAGATCAGCTCCACGTTATATATGTTATATAAATCATATAAACCATAGTGGAAAGTTATATTATATAATCTGTAATCAACTTTATTATTATAGTTAAGACAAAGAACCAAAAGAACGGCCGAATCTATG